ATCTCAGATTTGATCCAGCTTCACACACCATCTCGCAGTTTTGAGGTCATCAGGTCAGATGTTGTTGGTGGTATCCCGCACACATTTTAAATCCAGAAGGGATCAGTCTTTCCAAGCAGTTGCACCTCAGCTCTGGAATGCACAGCCCCAACTTATACACAGCCTTGATTCTATTGATGCTTTTAAAAAACATCTGAAAACTTTCCTTTACAAACAGGCTTTTAGCTAAGTGTTATTTTTTTTACTACTTGTATTCTTGTATGAATGTAATGCTGTGGTGAAGTTTTAATTTATTATTTTACTTTCTTGTTTTTATTCTATTTTACGTGAAGCGTTTTGTGATTTTATGTCTATGAAAGGTGCTATATAAACAAACTTTACTTCCTTACCAGTAGCAAACAGCAGTTCATGAAGACAGATCACGTTTCTGATTATAGATCTTTACTCTGTTTATTTATGCAGMMAACACCTCTCAGGAATGATCAACAATAAAAAAATTAAGACTTGACAAAAGTAAATTTTAAGACCTTGAACGAAAATCTGGGCAGTTTTAAGACTTTTTTTAGGCCTAAAATTTAGATTTCCTGCATAAACCCTGGATGGATTAGAAAAACCTGTAAAACATGCAGGTCCTCCAAGACCAGGACTGGACACCACAGAAGCCCTTTTTCCTCCTACGCAGTTTGGTTTGGCTCCATCCCACTCCGCACCCATTTTGTGAATTTCCACTGTGGCTCCCGCCCACTTTCGGACCACTTTTTCAGACCTCCTCTCGAGTTAGTACTGAGGCCAGCACCGTTTGGGGCGTGGAGGTGCTGAAGCGTGTAACAGTCACGATTGGCCAGTGGAGCTGCCTGGATGACGAAGATTTTTAAGAGCAAGATGAGATTTTCCAAATGATGGCAGCGCGCTGGGAGAAACTAAAAATATATTGAGCCAGATTTCAGAGCAGTGAAGGACCACAACAACAGATGGAATGGCTCAAAGCAGTGGGTAAATGGAGGGGATAGCTCTTTACAGCCACCGGTTAGTTAGTTAGCTGCTAACTGTAGACTGGTATCTTCAGAAACTTCATCTGCAGACGGTGAGGGCTTCGTGCATTTTGTGAGATATTGAACGTAATTTATGGGACACGTGTTGCTTGTCAAACTGCACCTTTTATTTATAAAGTTTGTACCGATGTGTCCTTTGTGCATGTTCGTTTCCAGTGCTAACTAGTTAGCAGCTAGCTGATATCGCTAGTGAACAAGCCAGGCTAAAAAAGAACACCCAGCTTTAAAGTAAAGTAAAGTTTTATTTATATAGCGCCTTTCACAGAAATAAATTCACAAGGTGCTGTACATTCAGCTAAGGGGGTAGGGGGTAGTTAAAACACACCCATTCAAGAAGACATACAAGACAAACATGGGAGAACAGATGAAACTGGTCATGCTTTACATTTATTGTAATTAGTAATTAATTATGACCGTATTTGAGGCTAATCGTTRGTTTTCTGTTCAGAATCACCTTCGACAAGTGACCAGCTGAGCTCCTGGACCGTTTCTCCACCTTCTCCTACACCTATCGGTACCAGCTGCCCCGCTATCCAGGTCGAAGCAGCTATGAGAGCTGCTCCCGGAGCTGCTCTGGTTACATTCGGACTTTAAAGTAGTTTTTTAGGTGGTTGTTTGTTTTTTAAATGTAGTTGTATATTGTCTGACTTTTATTTTGTGAAATAAAGAAACTATCTGCATTGCTGTTTGTTTTTCATTGAGTTAAATACGAATAGGGGGAAAAAAAAAATCAACATATATGTGAACCATCATATCGAAATGAGGACTAAGTCAAATTTGGTCAAAATGACGGCTTTAAAAGTTACATATTGACACCTGGATCATTCTGATATCATAATTAAATCCATATATATGACTTAAGTTGTCTTGTTGGTTACAATAATACATAAATATTTGGTCTGAATCCTAATTT